ATTTTAAAGATTGTTTAGATTTTGATTTTATTTGGAAAGATGTAAAAAGCGGAAATTAATTATTAAAACAGTAGTATTTAACTTTGTTATTTCGGCTCTGATTTTGCCAAAGTTGTTAATACCGCGACCCTCTTTCTTTATTTGACAAGTTCCATTTTGGGGGTAGTTTTGCTGGAGATAAGTTGGAGCAGGTTGACAAGGGATTATTTGGGTTTCTCTTTTTCCACCCCACTTATAAGAACCTCCTTTTATCTCCAATTTACTGCTATCAACTGAGGTAGAGATAAATATTCATATTAAATCTTTATACTCTGAACAATCAAGCACTCCCTCTAATTGTTGGTTTATGTCTATTTTTCCTTTTGCTAACCACAAAGCATAAGGCTCACAAGGTTGAATTACTTCATCCCAATCACAAGCTATCTTTAATTTCTTTTCTGTATTTTTAAATTGCTCGTATAAATTTACTACTTTTCTACTCATATTCGTTTTCTATTGTTATTGCTTTTTTCTTTGTTTAGTTTAATTTCTAATTCTTTGGCAGATTTCTGTTCTTTGATTAGTTGTTGTTTATCCATGTTATTCTTTTCCAAAAATCGCTTCAACCGCTCCAGCAACTTTATCATCATCTATCTTGTCATGTTCTGACTTTTCTTTGGCATAAATACCATAAATGGGACAATCGATAAATCTTGGATCTCCAAATGCCTTATAAGCACAGATAGAGCAAATATATCCGCTATCTTTTTCTTTATCATAAAGTAAATCCTTGGGACTTTTGCCTCATAAAGCATAACAACCCTGTTTTCAAGGGTTAGTGCCACATCGGGAGCAGTTAGTTATTTTATTTTCTGACATATTATTTTCAATAATTTTTCTATTCATTTTCTATTTTCTTGTTGCTTTCTCGTGTTTTTCTTGTCCTTCAATGTTGGGTTTGTCATCTATTTTATTTTCTGTAATTTCTCCATCATGTAAATTTACTTTGAATTCAGGCTTTCACAAGGCATAAGTGCCTTGGGTTCTCCCTGTATAGAGATTAGTGAACCCATGGCAACAACCATATTCAAAAGAGTTTCCTTTTACTTTGCCTGCTTTAATTCTTTTTCCTAATTCTATCAATAACTCTTTGTCTGTCAAATCACATCCTTTTTGAAAATATTTGCTTTGGTCAAATGTTTTATTTACTTTTGAATTTCCCATATTTTAATTGATATTTTTTCACTATCTCTAAAAGATCTAACCTATAATCCGTAATTCATTTACCTTCTTCATTCATTCTTCCACCAGTTTCGATAATTCCTCTTTTGGGATAAAAATCAATTCCTTGCGGATCGACTTCGCGGTTTATTAACATTCTTCTTTCTAGTTCTTTAAGTAAGTCAACGTTGCTTACTTGTTTCAAAAATTCTTTATTATTCATTTTCTTTATTCTTACTTTTGGTTTTTATTTTAGATAATTCTTTTGTATTATTTATTTTTTAAAAGAGATTGAAGATTCGGGGGGGGGGGGGGGGGGGGGGGGAATTCTTAATTTGCTTTTTTATTCATTTTAAATTCCCCCCTGAAAATATTTGGTATAGGAAGAAGAAGTTTGAATAATCCTGTTTCCCAATACTTT